ATGCACGGCTTCTGGGAGGCTTGTCCCACAGCATTCTAGTCACTGAAGAGCCAGCACTCCTTTATGTACAACATTAGTGCCCTGGCCTAGTCACCCGTTGACAAGTTTGTCACTGAGAAGGCATCTCTGTCAATGCTGAATACGTCCAACTCTGAGCCCTGGCATGAGATAGACCAGCCCCTGGACTGTTGTGATTTTATCAAGTGCTGCCTGAAGCCTTGCCAAGCGCCCACACCACCAAGACGAATCCATTTTCTGGGTGCCCAAGTGCTGCAGGAGGAAAATCCCAAGGAGAACTATCAGTGTCCATTCCGACAGTAGCTAAGTCTTCAGAATCATAACTTATCAGTGTCTATGTGCCTAGTTCAATCTCATTCTCAACAGTCCTAGCCTCCATTTCCTAGTCTGTAACTTCATTAGTCACCCTTGGCTTCCTACTTCACAAAGGAAGCCATCATTAGACAAGTATGTAAGCACACATCTAGTGCCATCTGTCTTTTTACACGGACCTTTCTTCTGGCCCAGGAAGGTGTCCCGTGAATCCCAAGCTTCCACCAACCCTTGACTCCTTTACCTCCTACATTTCCTCTCCATTTGTTTCTTCCCCGGTCTAAACATAGGGATCGTTCCTTCCTCTCAGCCTAAAAATAGGTCCTTTTATTTCTTACATATAAAACTGTTTCTTCTTTCCCTTTAAACCAGATTTCCTAAGGGGGAAAGATGTCTATCCAATTACAATCTGGGTTCTATTTCTACAGAGATAGCAGTACATTGTCATTGAAACCTCTCTCTCTACATTCCCTAAGTTATATTCCCTTACATTGTTTTTACAGTCTCCGTACCTGCAGTCACTTTACATATTGGTTAATTTGCTTATTATTTTTTCCCACCCAAATCGCTCTACTTCTAGCACCTAGAATACTAGAGTCCTGGTGTGAATAGAATACAGGGGTCCCGGGCTTTTAATGAACTGCTCTTTGAGCTTTGTTCTCTAACTTGAGTTTCAGCCCATGGAGTCGAAAGCCACCTAGACATCTGTCAAAGTCCACACATATATCCCAGAACGTATTCATTATTCCTACAGCCTGTTCTTCCCTCCTCTGTGCCTCAGCGAATGGCCAGGCATCCATCCCGTCACCACTCCGGAAACCCTAGCACCCTCCCTCTCCTCAACCTATCAATCGATCATCAATTCCTGTCCACGAATCCCCTCCCCATCTCTGGACTCCATTCTCCAGCCAGAGCCGAGCCCGGGCCACCAGCGTGTCACTTGCATGGCAGGTCTCCACGCGTCCATCCTGCTTCCCTGCACACGGTCCACACCGCAACGAGGTCTAGCGTTCCGCGGTGGGAACGTCCCCGAAGGCCACCAGCCCTGCCGCCGCCCCCAAAGCGAACA